GGCTGTTTGTCCAAAAACCGGCTACAACGCATAAAACAGGCACGCTGCAAAGCAGAAATCTTGCAGACTCCCAATTCAATGTTAGTAAAATGTGTCCCGTCAAATAAAGTGAACTAATATGTTCATATTTCACACTACAATAATGTTTTCTACTTAACTTTTTACTACAACCTCGTAACCAGGAGCCTTTTACATCTCCTCGAGTTTCCTCGAGTGGAGGAAGTGTTCTCGAGGAGCTCCTCAGGCGAGGAAACACCGAGGCGCGTCTCTGAAACCCGATGGCTCCTCGAGTGGAGGCGAGCTTCTTTCCTCCACTCCAGTGAGTCGAGGTGGAGTCTCGAGTCGAGGCCCGGTTATGAATACGGCCGTAAGTGTTGTAAGTGTCACAAATGTTATTGGAACTGACTCAAATTTCTTTAGTACGTGGCATAGTTATTTTGTGACGCTACTGCATATAGGTTCAGTCATACAAGCCCTGGATGGCTTTGACGAACCTGACTTGTGACGTGGACAAGGTAGTTTTATTAAATAAGGTTTTTATTATTATTAATATTATTCACATCCTACTTCTCTCGTCTGAATGGGTCAATACATTTATTATTAATATTAATATTATTATTATTATTATTGTTCTTCTTCTTGTTCTTCTTGTTCTTCTTCTTATTATTCCATCTTGCCATGTATTGCGGAGGTGTTAGAAAAACACCTATTCACCGTGATGAGTTGCTTCATTGCTAACTCTGGTGTTCTGTCGCGCAGCCAGTATGCTTTAGTTGCTGGCTGAGGCACCCAGCCGTTGCTTGAGGATTTTACTGATCTTATTCATGATGCTTTTGAGAACAATCTATTTTCCTGTGCTGTTTTTTTGGACGTGTCAAAAGCATTGGACTCTGTCAGCCATAAGTTGCTTCTCTGTAAACTACATAATTTTGCCTACAGCGGGCCTTTCTTGGTTATTCTTCAAAGTTTTTTTTCAGGTCGATCCCAAATCGTATCCGTTGGCACTTTCAAAAGTTCACGCGTACTAATAAAAGCCGGTGTTCCACAAGGATGCGTTTTGTCGCCTCTGCTTTCTAATCTATACTTCAATGACCTTTCAGCAGCAGTGTCTACTTGCAGTATTTTTCAATATGCGGACGACACGTTACTTGCATCTCGTCATCTCAAATATGAGAGCGCCGTTCATTTACTGAGGCGTGATGCATCGCAGATAATGAATTGGTTTGATGAAAATTTGATTTCAGTCAATCCGTCAAAAACAAAACTGGTTTGTTTCAGAAATCCATTAAAGAAGGTGGCCCTTAACGTACCATTTTTGTTACATAAATCAAGCTGCTCAAATTGTGTTTCTTCTCCGCTCGAGTATGTGGATAATGTGAAATATTTAGGAGTGCTATTGGATTCAGATATGTCATGGAATTCCCATTTGGCTCACGTTTGTGGAAAATTGCGGAGCGTTAGCTGTTTGTTTTGCAACCAGAAAGTGTTTATGCCGTTTTCAGTGAGGAAGTCTATTGCGCATGCCCTTGGTTACAGTATATTGCGGTACGGTATTACATTGTTCGGAAAGTGTGCAGAGTCGTGGCAAAGGAAAGTTGATCGTATGTTGGGGGGCCTGTTAAAGAGCGTTGGCTATCACTTTGATTCTTTTACTGACATGAACTTGTTCGAGTTTTTACGTATGGCGAATTTCTCTTCCTTGTTTTTGGAAACCGTGGTTCTGCGCCACTTTTGGAATGATAATTTTAAACGGCCCTTTGTTCCTAGCAGGAGTCTTTGTCACACGACCCGTTTTATTACCCCCGGGTGTACTACGCGCTACGGAAAAAGTGTTCGCTCGCATTACGTGCCCTCCATTTTCAATAAATTGCCGGATCGCTTCTTTGAGAGCACTACAAAGAGAAAACTGAAAAAAAATGCTGACCAATTTAAGCTTGTAGTAACCCTTCGTTGTTCTGTTTTTTACCTATCTTCTGCATAGTTCTTATCTTATTTTGAGTTGTGTACTTTCGCCGTTTCGACTTGCCGGGTACTGTCCCACAAGCCTCCTGTGGCTTGCACAGACCCGTATTTGTATGGTGTCATTTAATACATGAGGATTAAAATTATTGTTATTAATATTAATAATATTAATAATAATATTATTATTATTATCATTATTGACATGATATTTTCTTCGAGTTGGACTCGAAAAAAATATTGAAAAATGCCCTACGAGACCCATTTTAAATTAAGTGCGACTGCACGAACCAGATTCATCTTCTGGGTGTCTTAAACTGTGCTCCAAATATTTTTTTTCTTAGGCCAGTGATGTGATGTTTATTACAACTCAAGCACTGTGGCAACTTGACATGACCTGTGCTTCACTTTTTTATATTTTGATGTGTGTGTGTCTGTTCTTCGTCTAATGTGGCTATCCACATACCAACAACTCTGGACGCTAACTTGACCAATGCTTCAATGTTATTTTTTTCTTAAAACTTAAGTGTGTGTGTTTTATGTGATGGTGCACTTTTTACATTCTTGAAATTAATTGATATATGACTTTTCTACTGGAGGTTTAGCCACACAAGCCAATTCTGGCTTTGGCAGACCCGAATCATACTTCGTCGCACTAAAAAAAACATTATTATTATTGCTTCTATTATTATTATTATTATTATGAGTATTAATATTATAAAAATGATTAGTGAATATTAAGACACAATGTTGTTCTGAATCATCAATTTATTGCTCTAAATTTATATTTCTTTAAATATAGACATTTTGCGTGTAGCCCGAGCTGAACTCCCAGTAGTTCCTCAAAATACGTATCATCCTGCACTTAATATAGGGCTTTCTTTTGAAAATTCTTCTGTTTATGCTCATTCTGGTGGTTCCCCATCGCACATCTTATGTAATCTTTCGGCAGGCGACTATGTTGGCATCTATGATCACTTCATACGCTTTCATCGGGCGTCGATCTTGGAATAGCCTCATGTAAATGACAAGGCCATGCTCTTCACGCGAACTATTAGGGAGGCCATGGATACCGTAATTTCTTTGAGGACCATCACTAAATCTAGCTTTCCTAGCTGGTTTCTCAGTGAGCTAAAAACGGTACTGAAAAAAAAGTACCTCTTTCACAGAAAGTTTAAGGAAAGCGGCGTTTTAAAGTGGGAGGTACAATTCAAGTGTTTCAGAAAGCAATGTAAAACAGTCCTATATCGCAACCGCCAGAGTCATCGTTACTCAGTGGAATCATATATTGTCAATAATTCAAATACCTCAAGAGTTACATCAATTCACGATCCACGAGGCAGAGTGAATTAAATTTTTGTCTAGGTAATCATGAAAGTGATTCGAAGTCCGTGCCTGAGTTTTTCGCTCAGTATTTTGGTTCAGAGTGCAAGTGCAGTACGCAGTTTTTTTTATCTGCGCTGCCTCACTTAGATATGTTTGGTGACTTGTTTAGTTGCATTAATGTTGACGAGGAGTGCGTACGACCCTGTATTAACAGAATGAGAGCAGCATTATCAGTAGGGCCCGATGGCGTTCCGTCCGCGATTCTCAAAACTTATCAGGACATAATCACGCCGGTACTGTGCCCGAGTATTTAAAAAATTTTAAGGTTGAGAGCCTTTCCTGAATTATGGAAAGTCACTGTCATTGCTGCTGTACTAAAGTCGGGAAAAAAGGTAATGTTTGTAACTGTAGAAAAATCTTCCTTCTCTCTTCATTTTCCACGCTCTTTCAATGGTCGTTCGTCAATTCCTGCTTTTCAAATTTCGAAACTTAGTAATCCCCAATGAGCATGGCTTTAGGAGCATAACATCAAACACTACAAATCTTGTTAGCTGAGGTCAGTTTGGCGTTGTCCCCTTTAACTTAAGCTAGGTCTTTGGCGCAGTCAATCACCCCATTATTTTATACAAACGTTCCTCCAACGAGGTATGTGGCTCTGTACACGACTGACTGAAAAGAAACTTATCAGAGAGAGAGGCGTACGTACGAGTCAACAATACAAACTCTTCGTTGCACAGGGCACGCTCTGGCGTTCCTCAGGAATCTGTTTTAGGACCCATTCTGTTCACAATTTTCGTAAATGACATCTCTCTTGCTGTTTTAAATTTTTCACTCCTGCAGTATGCTGACGATATAAATCTTTATAGAGAAATAGTTAATGAACATGAATGTGCTAAGCTTTAGGAAGATGTGTGTTCTTTCTACCAATTGTGCTCTGACAACGACTTTTTTTTTAACCCGTCCAAAATTAAAGTCATGGCGCTCTTTCGAAAAACTTGCAATATCTTTTTTCTTTTGCGTATACTATCCACAGGGATCTCGAGTAAGTGTAATGAAAGATCTTGGAGTGATGGTTCATTTGATTCGCAATAAGCATTCTCATATAATATTACGCGAAATAAGTAAATAAAGATTTATTTATTTATTTATTACTATTAAGACACCTACCCCAAATCCTTGCCTCGCCTGATTTCAGAAAGACGGGTTTTCAAGTACCTTTCAAACTAACCGTTGACATTTTTTTCTTATATGTGGCTTTACAATAAATAAGGATTACTATTACTATTATCATTAGTTTAGCGCTAGTGCATTTCATAATTAAACTTGCCAATATGGAGCTTTTATGTTTGATATTTTAGCTCTAGAGCGGATATATAACATTCGAAGTAAGCGACATTCTAGTCGGTTTTAAAAGCCACCGGATGCGCAAGGTAAATGTTTCCATTGAAAATATGTTAATCCGATCCACTTTGAAAGCTGTTTTCTCTTCTGAGTGCACGACCCAAACAGCTGGCAGTTCGGAATATTAACAAGAACACATTTACTTGTTCAGTGCTATGGATTGGGAGGTATATATATATTAAACAGTGGAACACTTGATCAGTTACAGATCACTAAACACATCCGAAGAAGGTACCATGCCTCTTCATGTAATGTGGTTATCTTCCACAATATTATTTATGTCGGCCGGGCGCAGTTTCTCTGGAAATGTTCATATGGACCCTGATTCGACTAGGAATGTGGTAAGTTGTATTTTTGTTATTAATATTTTAATTAAAGTTTTTCGGGCATTTGAGAGGGTCTTTGAAAACAATGCTGATGAATAAAGGAAATAAGTCAATCTTTTAAAATTGCTAGTTGTCCTCTAGTCTATTTACTTGATTATTTTCGCCTTTCTTAGTAGATTTTTATTCGTGTGGCAAGCCGTCGATAGAGGTGGGCAAAATAAAAGCCAGATGGGTTTGATCAGATCTTCGCGTTTTCTCAGCAATGCACGAAACGTAAATATACATTTCTTGGACTATATTGTCTAAAATTATGCAAACACAAAGAACGATTCACACAGAAAATGTACATTTTAGTTAAACTTGAAGATTACTAAAACAATTTGTATTACTGGCAGAACATACGAGAGCGGAAAATCTAAATTTTATAGACAGTCTTCCTTAAAAAAAAAGAAAAAAAAAAAGAAAGCCCCGGAAGACGGAAACTGTGATTGATAAGTGAGTGAGTTGCATCGCTTGTCCCAAAATGGTGTCAATGCTGCTAAATATACTGGGTGTCTCCAAACAGCGGCCAGGTTATTTAAATCGACAGCAAAAATCGGTTTCATAACGCGTTACGATTTTGCGCAGCGTTACCCACATGTGCTGCACTTTTTTGTCTATAAAATTTGCAAAGGTCGAACTTACCCGAGGAAAAATGAAACTAAAAAATATAAAGGCTTAACTCCTATGAGAACGCAGCCAAGCCACCGGTCTTCAAACCATAGGGCGACCTATTGTTTGAGGATCGGTGGCTTCTCTGTGTTTTCATAGGAGTTAAGACTTTTTGTCTTTTTTTTTACTTTTTTCTCAGGTAAGTTTTATCTTTGCAAATTTTGTAGAAACAATGCACCACCTGTGGGCAAGGCTGCACAAAATCGTAGCGCGATAGGTTAAGAAACCTACTGTGGGGGTCGGTATAAAGAGCCTGGCCGCTGTCTGAGACACCTGGTATTTTCACCAATTCTTTAATTTATTCGCACCTTGTATACTAATGCTCGGTTTTTATGTTCATATCTTGTTGATTAAACTACTATTTTTTTTTTAATTAAATTCATGGAAAACTATACTAAGACTCAATTAAACTGTGGAAATTTATAGTTTTAGAGTTCATTACTAGAAACATGCATATGAATGGACATGCAGTGCAGTGAAAATAAATGTCGTAAATTCATCAGTGTCAGCATAAATTAAAATAAAACAGAAGAGCGAATATTTTATGTATATTAGCACGGTTTATTTCCTGGGTTCTCTAACGTTCTCGTCCTCGACCCCTGCCCGAGCACCTCTTCTCCTTCTTCCCTTTTTCTTCGCTTTTACACACGCCCCCTCCCCCCTATGAATCGATAATGATCGATTTCATCGTCCGAGTTCAGGTGCATGGCATGTGTGTCTCGATGAACGTGGGACGTAGTAAATAAGGTGGCTACGATGTGCCGTGAATGTTGCACTGGTATGATGGGGACTGCCACTACAATCACGAACTTGAAATGTCATGGGACCCAGCTGACGAAGAATCTCACAGTGGCCTCTGTAGCGCGAGAAGAACGTTTCAGCCGGCCTTTCTTTCGAAGGGGTCGGCATACCAACGCTGAGGGCAGGGCAATCTAGTTGCGCGGTGACAGCGCGTGCCTTATCGTCTTCAGTTCCGTGGTTTGCATCGGAAATGATGTCAACCTGCTGTAGGTATAGATAGATCCAAGGGTGTTTCGCCATTAAATGGCTTTATCTTGAGACGGGGTTGACCAGAAGATGTAGTCGGGCGGCTCGTGAAAGGAGTCTGCTCGACTGCGAAGACAGATGGTTGCGCTGTTTGCTAAGGCGTCTCCAGAGCAGCTACTTGACGGCAGATGTCGGCATGACTTGCGGCTAGAAGGTCCGAAGATTGCTGCGTAGCGGCCATGATTGTTTGAGTCTGCAGTTCCAACAGCCTTTGCAGAGACTCCAATGTCACCGCTGTCGTCAGAATGTCTATTGGTGCGGCCACCATTTGTGAAGTGGTTTCCTCTGGCTGCTGGGCTTGGGAGGGCGGCTCACCGGAAGGCCTCCCTTGTACGGGCAATGGACCTTGTCGGGTTTTGGTCGGCATCCCACCGCTGCTAACAATTTGTCATGGTTTATTTCCTGGGTTATCTAACGTTCTCGTCCTCGATCTCTGTCCCGAGCACCTCTTCCTCTTCTTCCCTTTTTCTTCGCTGTTACAATAAAGCGTTTTCCGCACTCGCTTTTCAAAAATATAGTCTTTATATTCCGTCGATCAGCTTTAGTAAAAAAATGAAAAACATTTATGAATTTCTTTTACGAGAAATTAGAGCACAGCTCTTGAAGAGGTGGAGGGGAGGATACGGAGGGGAGGGTATGCCCCTCATCCTCCTCCGTACCCTCTCCACCTCCCCTCTTTTTACCCTTTCCTCCTCCCCTCCCCTCCCCCTTCGCTCCCTCCTTCTTCGCTTCTCCTCCACCTCCTTGCTTCCTCTTCCCCCTCTGCCCTTCTCTTCCTCCTCCTCCGTATCCTCCCCTCATCCCACAATTTCCTCGCTAAATTTAGCTGGAAAATTGACGTCGAGTGACCTCAACAACAATTCCCTGTCCCCGCTAAATTTTGCCTGGAACTGTATCGCTCTTGAGGTCACGTGACGTTAATATTCCCCCTAAAGCCAGGGGAGAAGCTGAATTTGTTCATAGGTGACGTGACACCAAGTCACATGACGTCATCTTGCCCGTTAAATTTAGCAGAGAAATTGATTGGTGTTGAGGTCACATGACATTAATTTTCCCGCTAAATTTAGCGCGGTCACGCCGACGCCGACAGCGACGCCGCGAAACACGGAAACGGGCGCCTAATGGCTGCGCTCTAAAAAAACTTCGCGATGATTAAGCTACACCTTTAAAGGGGCCCTGCAACAACTTCTTGACTGATTTTTAATTTGCACCGATCCTGAGCGCACTGAACGTAGTAACTTAATGAAACTTTTCTTTTCTCGGATTTCGCTTTATTTTAAAAGTTATAGGCAAATTAGAATTACAAAAACAAGCAAAAATTAACCTCCTTCATGACGTTGTAGATGCTGGATTGAGTGGCCGTGAACTAGAGGAGGAATAGTGAGCTCAGCGAGCGCTCACGGCTGCCGCACTCCGTGTCGACGGCTCGAGAGGGCACCACTAAAGCACGTGTTGACAAGGCTGTAGGAAGTGGGCGGTCAGGGCAGCTCGCATTGCATTTACTGCACGATTAACGAATAATTCGGCATAACACTTCATTGGCCACAAACGACAGGAAACACGGGGTAAAGATCATTTCGGAACGGGAGCCACTTCGCGCTGCCATACCGCCAAATGGCAAAATCGCCAGCCAAGCCCGCGCCGAAAGCCTTCGGAACGCTCGGAACCGGTCGGATCCTCGAGCCGGTCTACGACCGCAGCGCCGCCGCGTACATCCCGGACCTTTCTACGCACGCCGTTCGTTGGCGCCTCATCCCACTAGCCCTTTCTATTATGCGCCGTTTTTTCCGCCGCTTGGTGGTAGGTATGTCGACGGGTCATTTCTTGTTTCCGAACTTTATAAACTGCATTTGTTTCTTTTCTGATCTAAAATTCTTAACAAAAACTACTTTCATACATAATTGAAACGGTTCGCGAAAGTAAAATTTTGTATTTCAACTAAAAAAAAAATATTTTAGCGGTTCTGACAAGTAGTAAGCCCAGGACCAAAGACGTCACATATCGCGCGCTTTCGCCAACGCGGGTCGCCCTCGTAGGTGGAGGAGGTTTCCGCGTCGTCCGGTTAAAATATGACGCACTGATATTTAGTTACTCTCTCCGTGCCCGCTGGCTTGCCCGAACCCCAAGAGACCTGGAAAACGCAAAAAAAGTAGGCGCTTAAATATGATTGCAGGGCCCCTTTAAGCGTGGAACACGGTAGCATTATCGGGCCACGTTCGCAAAGCCTTCTCATATAGGGAGTATTCACTGGACGCCATATTTGAGGGTGCTGTTTTGAGCGCATGCTCAGAACGAGCTCACATCAATGGGCGTCTAAGACCGGCACTCTTGATGGTGCGGAATGTACGTTGCAAAATAACTATGGAAGCTCGCCATCAGCACGCGCTCAGCATTCGCGCACACAGCTATGGCCGCCAGTGAATACTCCCTATAATCCCGTGCTCCTTCCCAACCCGCGCAAGCGTGTGTGCATGCTCCAGTCGGTATCGTCACGTATCACTTTCCGTCACACGTGGCTGTGACGTCATGACCAGCTAAATTTAATGGCCAGCTTAATTTTTTAAAATGGCCAGCTAAATTTAACGGAAAATCTTACGCTACATTTTTCGGGAAAACTTTCTCCCAAACTTGGCGGTGAAAGTGTCCGCTAAAATTGGTGGGTACATTTTCTGCTAACTTTGGCGGAAACAGTTTCAGCAATATTTAGCGGAAAATTTTTCTGCCAAATTTAGCGGGTCGACAGGGTCATGATGTCACAGCCACGTGTGACGTCACACGCATGACGTGACACGCATGATGTCACACGTGGCAGCGCGCGTTGCATTATGGAATTTCTTGGTCCCACTGAAGCCGGATTTTCTGCGACGCGAGCTCCTAAACGCTGTTGCGTTATTATGAATTTGATAACGACTCAATCAAAACACAGGAAATTAAATCTAGCAATTGGCTCAATGCTACTTGCGTGGAGAACACCTGCCACCTTACAGGGTTCTAAGATAATCCCAAAAAATTGCTATAGCACCATGCAGTACCACTGAATTCATGATGGCCCAATTAATGCAGAAATATTTGGGAAAATAAATTTCTTCTACTGTCTATTTATAGAGCGCAGCTCTTAGGCTCCCGCTTCCAGCTGGAGCGGCGACGCCGTCGCCGTCGGCGTAAACGCGTGCTGCATTATGGAACGTCTCCCATAATGACGTCACAACCGTCGTCACGTCACTTGTGACGCTATTATGGGAAACGTCCCATAATGCACCACGCGTGATGTCACGAGTGACGTCACGAAGGTCACTCGTGAAGGTCACGACGGAGGTCACGACCTTAACAGTGTAGGTCACGAGGCCTTCATGAGCGACATCATGAGTGTCACTAAGGTCACGAGTGACGTCATGAGGGAGGAAGGAGGGACGGTGAGCGGGAGGGAGGGAGGGGACAAGAATAAGTGGAGGAGAATGACAGAAGGAGGAGGGACGAGGAGGGAGAAGAGGAAGAGGAGGTGGAGGAGGAGGGGAGGATGGACGAGGTGAAGAGGAGGAGAGGAGTAGGAGGAGGGACATACCCTCCTCTCCATTCCCCCCCCCCCCCTCCAGTCCTCCTCAAGATCTGCGCTCTAATTCGGCATTACATGGAATTGGAAACGTCTTTGATATCTATATTTTACAATCATAGAACGCAAAAAGTGATATTCTTGAACTTGTCTGTTTCGTTTCGTTAGCTGTGGCATGCTCGATGTTCTTAATTTAGATTTACACAGTGCACACTAGAAGGATTAAAATGTGCGAAACATTTAGCTGATGTATGTGTGTGGCAGTGTCCAAAAAAAGTCATTCAACGAACACGAGCTTAAAAATATATTTACTCGAGCGCGTTTATTTTTTAAATATATATTGTTTGAAAGATACCGTCCTTTATTTTTCTTGTATAACAATGTAATAGTCGAACTGATCAACTTAGGTTATAAATACAATTCAGAGTGATACAAAACTTAGAGCAAATCACTATTTAATGTGCTGTAGTGCAAAAGTGCCTTTTACAAACGAAATAAATAAATAAAACCAGATGAAAGCAAGCTTTCATCGTTTATTAATCTGTGTTCACTTTTATTAACTTTTCTTGTCTAAAACAACGACGAACTTTCAGTCTTCTCAAAGTCAAAACCTCCCTTGTAGAATGAAACCGAACTGTTTCTCGGTTTTGCTGACCACGGTTAAAACAGCGCCATGGTGATTAAAGCTAAACTGGTTCTGATCTGCATGCTGCTAGGTGTCGTCCATTCACAACTCCAAGACATAAAAAAGCTCTAACATTCCCCTTTTATGCAGTGAAACCTCCTTTTATAAAAAAGGTGTTTACATAATTATGTCATTAAATATGTATAGCATGCATTTGCTTAGTTTGTCTTTTATTGGCAAGGTATTTATTGAGTGTAAATATACGAGCACTGCTGCGCATGCTCTTTCTGGATGTTCGTGGTCGATTGCGCACGAATAAAGTAGTTGAAAGTTTGCGCTTGTCCGTGTCTACTCGCTTGTAATTGTCCCCTGTGTCGCGCAAAAAACCTCTATACTGCATACGAGCACTCACAAGTCATAAACAACATGGCACAAGGCGCGTATTGTTGCTTTACCTATTGGTGTATAATTTCTTCGTTCCCTTACCTTCGCCAACATCTGTTTAGGTTAATTTAAATCTCTCTTCCAGTCTGAATTGATCTCCAGCAAAGGCTATCCAGTCGAAGAATACGAGGCTGCAACCAGCGACGGTTATGTGATCCGCATTCAACGTATTCCACGAGGGAAAAACGAACGCCAGGACGCACCTTTGTCCAATAAGACAACGATATTGCTGCAACATGGCGTGCTCGGTGCCTCATCAGATTTCGTTATAAATTTTCCCAACCAAAGCTTGGGTAAGTTTTTTTTTCTTAAATACAATCAGCCGCAACATTTTAATCCGTTTTGGTTAAATGTAACTTGATTAAAACGGAAGCTGGAAATGAAAGAGACGAAATAAAGTATCGGGCGTGGTGCAAAAGCGTCCCGACAAACGTTACTAGAACCACTCATTTGGGAAACTGCCATAGCGCCTCTTCTGAAAAAGTGGCACCGATCCGTACTCAAGAGCCGAGCTAATGGCGATTGTAACGCCGCCATTTATCCCGCAGCGGCCACTCGGGGAACTGCACGGCTGCTTGAATTGGTTCGGGAGTATCAAATTTGATAGCGCCGTTGTGACTGTACTATTGTGACTTTAATCGACCATTTTGGCGCTTAAACATATACGGAGGAAGAGGTTTCAGGGATGGCAAGCCCCGTCTCCCAAGCGGACGCGCCGCGAATTACTACCAAAGTTAGGACGCGCCCAGGTTGGGGCGCGATACCCGTAATCCGCGGTGAGACATGGTTGTATAAAAACAATATGAATTGTTCCGCAATACCTACTAAATATTTTAGAAAACATCACGCACCTGTCATTTTGTACTGAACTCCAATAAACGTTCATACAAAAATAGTTTTTTTCGTTTGTTTTACACAAAAACATTTTCTAAACGCTCAAGGTGACCTCAGTAAAGAAAAAAGATTGAGTCGCCATCTCGGCACGTCGAGACTGGGTGTTTGAGTACTCTGGGGACATTCAGTGACTCTAGTAGTAGCCATATAAGGCAAATTTCATGTTTCAACTCGTCGGTAAAGGGTGGCGCTGTCATTGTATTTAGTTCGGTCTTGGTGGACGCTAGTGGCCCGGGTTTAAATGCGAGTTTCCTAACTAAGTGTACTAGTAACGTTGGTCTAGTAACGTCAGTGTCGACGTGTTGGCGGCGTCCCCACTTCTGGCTACCGAAGTTTTCGTTAAAGGCCAAGCTGGAGAGGGACCTTTAACAGAATTGGCTCCTGCCACACACACGACTGCTGTTGTGGCGGCGCAAAGATTGCGGCGGGCGAGAGCATGTCACTTGTACGATGTCATAAGGTGGAAATCGAGTGACCACATTCTTCGGACGTGGTAAAAAGGTCGGTGAAGGACGCGTTTCATTCTTCACGCAGCCACCGGGATTTGACTTATGGAGGTATGAAGCCTCTGGAGGCGACATGATGCTACCGAAGGTGAAGCCATAAGTGTGTAGGGGCGCCCCGTACGATAAAAAAAACCATGGTTGTTTTGGTCTCCCTCGAATGCTGATGTCACCTCCAAAAGCTTCCTACCTGCATGTGTACACTCAGCACCTCATATTGAAAGGGTGGTATAAGAATGGGACGCCGCCGTGCCACTAGCAGCAGGACCATTTTTGTGCATATTGTGTAGCAGCAGAAGGACAGCAGTCATCGCGTTAGTCGTTTTTAATCAATGTATGCTTACCTGACCATTGCACTACACGCGTGCTTGGATCCACAGGTCGGCGCTAACTTTTCCTACACTGGAGATGGAAATTAAATACACAGATTTCCTCTATCCCGTAAAAAACAGCTGCGATCATATATCATTGTCAAGCGCTGTCCGCCAGCGAAAGAAATATAAAGAAATATTAGGTTAAATGAGTGGCGAATGCTACTTCTCATATAGACTTCAATAATCACTGACACTCGTGCACCTCTCTCCGTAGAATGCAAAAGCCCCAGAAGCCGAAATTCACCATTTTTAAAAAGCTATACTGACTTCACATAAAGCAGATAACAAATTAGTAACACATTTCGTCTCCCATACGCGAGACGTCATCACTGAAGCCGAAAGGCAGCAATGGGGAAAACGCCAACTAGAAATCCTATTTAAGAAGGCCCGCGCACACTTCACGAAACAGATGAATCCCCCCGGATAAAACATGATTCCAAGTACCTTCCTTGACCGCAACTTTGCTTGCGCGCCAAGCTCGAAGCTTTCTTGAAATCAAAACTGCGACTTGTTGTCCGACTGTGATCAACTATAGCTCCACTTTGCCCTAGTGGCATGCGTGGCTTTCGCCACCTCACGTTTGTGTTATTTCATACCGGTGCAACACTTGCGGCTGGTGTTTCACAATTTCAGCTTCACAATGTAGACAGTTAAATTTATACACCACACCACGCTGGGACCCTGGGGGGGGGTCCTATTTTGGTTTGGAAACGAGGTTGCGTAGTTTAGGATGGGGTTGGAAAGTTGTTCAGAAATTCGAAAGGGTCGAAAGCCCTGCGATTAGAGTCAGAAAGGGTTTTAATATAGTAAATCGTTACTTGCATTGCTTTATTACTATTTCATTCGAACGACTATCTTGCCCTATCTGCTTGCGCGTCTTATCTATGAAACGTATATGATAATCCCGCTTCTCCAGCGACTCGACAATAATTGTATCCTCAGATGCTCGGAGTTCCGGATTTGAATAAATGTGTTCGGACAGATGTAGCGGGGTTTGTACGACTCTTCGTTTGTGCTCAACCGGGTGATGTAAGTTCAAGTTTGGGAACTTTCCTGGTGTCGCAATATTTGCGGTACACAGGTGTTTCTATATGTCCGGTGCTGTGTCGGGCTATATAAACTTATAGGAAAGGCAACGTGCTGTTCGTTTCTGCTTCACGGTGTGAATTGGATTGACAGCTCAACGGTGTTCAATGTTAAATAAAAGTCATGAAGATGGTCTTTATTTAAATTGCGGTAGTGCCGTACATGTAACGCATATAAAACCTTACTGGATGCACAATTTACCATATAACTGTTTTCTGGACGTGCTGCATTACAAGATTCTCCAGTCACGGATACCGGAATTCCCATTGGACAACCTTCAATCGGGTGATAGGCTTGTCCACGAAATGGAAAAAATTAGACTGCTGATGACAAAACCGTAGCAGTATAGCGATGTCCTCAACCGTTAATGATGTGTGTGAGGGAAGCGTGTCATCATTACGTAAGCTCGTTTCAGCGAATCTCAGAGTTGGGAGGTTGGGACATTCGTAAACTCTAACACAACATCAAAGGAAACCATAACGTCATCCTTTTCAAGTCCGTTACCTCTAACGTGGCCCACGATCTTCTGAAAATTACGTACTGTGAAATCGTTTGTTCCAGTACCGGAATGGTGAGTTCAACGAAATATTTTGACAGGCTCAAATGAATGAACCAATGAATGAAACAATCGGACACAATGGGCCCTCTGGTTCGTGAACTTTTAGAAGACCACGGTATTTAGGAGTAGATCCGTCAAAAGTAAAAAGACGACGGTTCGTAGCGTCGTCTGTGCGTTTCTTCTTTTCTAGATCGCGGAGGTGGTCAACAAGAGATCTTTAAAATTTTGGAGGGGGGTCCCAGGGTAACCTCACGTAATGAGCCGTGTCAACAAGAACCGCATGGATCTTTTTTAAAGGAAACTTGCTTGTCAAGTACCGCTGTACCCTTTGCCTTATCAGCTGTGAGAATATTAATCGACCGATTTGATTTAAGATCCAGTAATGTCAATTGCACCAGCTTGCTTAGATTCGATGGTGTTCATTTTGCGTTGTTGAGCATAGTCGTTATGCGACTGTGTGCCAGATTGGGGGGGCCGGCGGTGAAAAGCTCACTAGAGATAAGCTGACCGAAAAACAAATTCATTTGAGACACTTAAAGACCGACCAACGAAGCCATTTTCCGCAAGGTAGGAAAATGCCCCTCGCACCCTCCTCTTTTCACCATCTCCCAAAAATCACGTGACGGCAGGGGCTTCTTTTGTGTCGGCTTTTTCTGTAGGGATAATCCTCAAAAACCGCGAAATGAGCGGCTAGCTACGAGCGCCACAACGACCTTGAGACGTCCAGGTGTCTTCCCTCCTTGACGCGGGGGGCGGGCACGCTCAATCCGCGAGACTGAGGAAGCCAGCGCGACCGAACGCTTTTTCCCATGAGCTGCAGCTCCGAGGCCGCTCGGTCGGTGGAGATCGAGGGGTCGTGGTATGCGGGGTTCGTTCCAGTAGCCGCTTTCTGGCATCGCGCGGCTGCTGGAATCATTCCCGTGTCTGCACAAGGATTGGCTTGCGCTATACAGGGTTCAGGTCGTTTATAATACATTTATTTTCGAAACTTATAAATCAAGTGGCTTTCCCTAATCTCTTCTTTACTGTTTGAAACACATCTCCTCTCATAGGTTGTTTATCTCATTTTGGACTTTTTCGCGTATTTATCCATCCTTACCTCTGCTGGATGTTAGTTTTTATTACTTGATAAAGACCATTAAATATTGGCGCGGGCTTGCGCGATCAACGCTGTCCCGGATTTATCCAAAATTGGAAAGACTGGCGTCAAGAGCGGTTGAAGAAGCAAACCGAAATTCTTGCTTCTAATGAAGACGGCACAATCGTAAGATAGGTCTTTGCTTCACTTGCCTCCACAACGCCCTATCGTTTGCACTGTCGCAACTTCTCAGTAACATAGCTGTATACCACATTTTACTCATGGTTACTATAGATGTGGCCCCACAGGCTTTCCCGTTATGAGCGAGTCGACGTTTTAACGACCGGCGACTCTCCTGAGTGAGAATAAATATTATCTCCTTCCATCAACATCCACCCCTTTCTCTCTCTCCACCCCCCCCCCCCCCTCCCCTTTCCCGAGTTGGGGAAGTATCAGGCCACTCCAGGAAGCTGCCTGCAGACTGCGCTTTTCGGCTACTCATCCTCAACACATTCGAACGTGGAAGTAAACATATCGCATGAGCGACGCCCAGTTTATTTGCAACCTTAATAATTTGTCTCTACTGTTGGGACCCAATCAATTTCATCATCAATCATTATTTGTTACGATTTCATGGTAAAAGTATGTTCGTCGTGATGCCACAAAACTGGTCGATTCAAATTTTGCTGAAATACTCGTTCCTGTGACGCTCTTGTGCGTAAGGTCAAAGCACCCGAGGCAGTGCGTAATACTTTACAACTGTCGTTGACGATAAAATATTTGTGGGAAGTGCGTAAAA